ATTATCCCTTGGTGTTAGTGAAGAGAACAATCACATAGGGAATCGACGATCGATATAGAGCTTGTTACTAAAATGGAATGCTTTTCTGTGACAAGAATGATAGTTTTGATGATGTTTTTTTTCCGCGCTTCTGCGCGCGCGCTATGATCTTCAGCTTCGCTGTAAGAGTGCAAACCCAAGACAAACAATGCTGAATGAAAGCGGCAATTAGTTCCAAATTGACTAAGTTTTGCATTTGCAGTACGGCACTAGTTGCTGTCGTTGTTGAAAAATCGTCCAACTTCACAGGGCTTTTGTATAGATGTTGACGTATAAATGACTCATGTCTTTGATTATATCTATAGATATTTAGAATTGATGATATTTGTTCCGAAGAGTATTTCGCATTGCAGTATTAAATGCGAGTGGTCGTTTGAACCACTACCGCTCTAGGAAGCTTGTCATGTCTTTAGCTGGTATCTTTAAGAAAACTATTTTCGCTACGTTTTCTGTTTCCAATTTTTTTTAAACAATTTTTACTCTTTCTGTTACAATTTATAGCTACTGTATAGTTTATGGCTAATATTGTCTTGATGAATAGAAGGGACCTGAATTTTAGCACTTTATCTTCTCATTACTTTTGCCGATGACCGACACATATGACCGAGTAACTTTTCTTTGCATTCCCTTGTGTGGAAACAAAACGGACGGGTCCCAACTGGTGCATAGAGTACGATATAGAGTAAGACATATCTGTTTGTGTCTATCAAGCGGCCATTGATTTGAAGTCTTGCATCCTTTACCAAATATTTAGTCCTAAGTTTTGTCTCCGTAAATTTTCAGTAACATTTCGTTGATCTGAAAAATTGTTTGACTTATTTTGGAGTGTTTGTTGTCAAAAGACTAAGCACGAATCCAGCCTTGCAAGGATTTGGGATTATTTACCCTTGAATGATTCTGTGCCCTCGGAAGTCGATTTTGACGAATTCCCATTTGTCTAGCTGAGTTTTCAGATTAGCTTTTTCAGCTTTCAATAGAAAAATGTTGCCGATACCTTTGATACCTCGCTTTGGAAGGGAGTTGTGAATGTTGTACAAGGTACATATGATTTCCATCGTCATCAGATGGAAAGGCATTGTTACGAATTGATATATCTCAATTGTGGCGAAACATGGTTTCCTGGATTTCGGTTTAATAGCTAAGCTAAATTAATTGTAGTGAATAATTTCTTGATTGTTCAGTCAATCAAACACCAGTCTGTCCTTTTTTTTCGTTTACGTCTGCCTGCTTCTTAACTATCCGTATTGGACCAGAGTACGTTAACTTGCTATGTCAAGTTACTTCGTTATGCAATATGTCTTATATTTGGTAAAGGTATGAATTTGTGAAAATAGGCACAACGTCTGTTGTTTTTACGTCGTATTTGACGGCATTTGTGTGTATGAATGTTATTGGTGGTGGTGAGCTAGCTAGCTTGCTAGAATATTTTGTGTTCTTTTTTTTATCATTTCTAGAATCTCTGCCTTTTCGTATGTCGCATGTCGTTCGATAAGCAATACGAAGTTTCTCGTAGTGATCACAATCATGCTTGCTTCTGTAGCACGTATGTTATTGATGCTGAGGGAAAGTTACGTGCCATGGCTTTTCTTGTCATACACTGATCGTTAATGATTAATTTATTTTTCGGATAATTTTTTACGAATCCGTATTTTTTAAGGACTCGCTTCCTAGACATAAAAAAGTTGTGAAATGTGCAGTCTACTAACTCTAACTCTGCAATCCCACATTTTAGAACATCGAGATACTCGATAGGCGGTTGCTATTCTGATCTTATTTGGAAGTTTCTTAAGGTTCAAGGATTACGAATTGATTTTCCACAGGTCCAGTGTTATGTGTTTGTTCAAAATGCGATGGGTCAGTAATTTTTGCAATGAAGATATGAATTACTAGTGAGCTGTTGGCTGGTAGGTTATAAGAAGTTGCGCTAATTCAGGTTTACCGAATTGGCTGTTGTTACTAATTCTACCGAAATTTTCTTGGCTGTTATTACTGTGAATGTTTCGGCTACAATTGCTAGTGTTGTTGTTTTTTGTTTTGCTCTGAAAACTGAAGCACTCTGCGAAAATAATGAAAAATTTTGGAATTGATATATTTTCGCCTTCCCGTAGCATTGCTAACACTTTGGATAAATGGGAGTTACCTAAGGAAAATGTGGTAATCAATCGACGTTTGGGTGAAGGTGCTTTTGGAACCGTCTACGGTGGTGAAGCGTTAATTAATTCTGAAAACTGGACAGCTGTGGCGGTGAAAACCTTAAAGGTTGGCGCTTCTACTGAAGATCGCTTAGATTTTCTCTCCGAGGCTGAAGCCATGAAACGTTTTAATCACAAAAATATTGTAAAACTTTTGGGAGTTTGCTTGCAATCAGAGCCTATTTACACTATAATGGAATATATGCTGTATGGTGATTTAAAAACATATTTGCTTGCCCGTCGGCATTTGGTAAGCGAAACTATTTCTGATGATTCGGATATATCTAGCAAACGTCTTACAATGTTTGCATTAAATATTTCGCATGGCTTGGATTATTTGGCTCAACAGAAATACGTACACCGTGATATAGCTTGCCGTAACTGTTTGGTAAATGCAAAACGAGTTGTCAAAATCGGTGATTTCGGCATGGTTCGTCCGACTTACGAAAGTGATTATTATCGTTTTAATCATAAAGGTATGTTACCTGTACGCTGGATGGCACCTGAATCTTTGGCATTGGGCATGTTTACACCATTTTCTGATGTTTGGGGTTTTGGAGTAGTACTCTTTGAAATCATAACTTTTGGCTCCTTTCCATATCAGGGTTTAACGAATGGTGAAGTTTTGCAGTTTGTAAAAAATGGTAAGACCCTGAGAATGCCAGCTGACGCGAAGCCACAATTAAAGGGCCTTATAAGAGCCTGTTGGAATCGTAATCCCAAAAAAAGACCAGCGGCATCTGAAATTGTTAAATATATAACCAATTACCCTCGCCTGCTAACACCTTGTCTGGATTTCCCCAGTGCTTGCATAGAAATGGCGGACGCGGGAAGTGACCAGCTCGAATTTCTGCCCAACTCTCTTCAGTTTTCTTCACAAGGAAGTTACTCAAGCCTCGATATAGCAGAGCAAGCTACAAGAGCTGAAAAGATAAAGGACAGCGGTTTTGTTGATGACGATAATTTGCCAGAAATTATTAGCGATTCTTCTAATGATCCGAGTTCGTATTCGCCCACGACAGTGGATGGATATAGCGTCATGTCGCCTTTGCTTGTGCCTCATGTCAGCTGCGGTATAAGTGAAGCGCACACTTAAATATTAAAAAAATCACTTTAAAATACGCAGTAACGGCTTCGTAGCTGCGAGAACGGAGAGCGCCCGACGCACGTTTAGTGGCATTTAGGTGCATTTAATTAGTGGCAACAAATTTTGAAAGATTCAGTTCCTATAGATGATGTTAGTCTAAGCACTTGGTTTTAATTTCAGTTTGTATTTAAATTTGTAATGAAATGTACATACGATCTACTCGCATTCGAGTCTGGTGCAATCATAATGACAATTTTGTCAATGACAATGATTGAAAAGCAAGCGGAAAGCTTTATTTTTTCCTCGCGAGACAAATGTTGCATATTCATGATATATTTTTTATTGACCTCAACGATCGAGGCGATCGGAACTGCTCTCAATTCTAATAGATAATCACGTAAAAGATATTCCACTCAAAATTCATATCAGGCAAAATCGCCAATGTATAGTTAAAATTTTCAATGCAAATTTTCGAAGCTTTTGCAATTACTTATCGTAGAAGTGATTGAGACCGAGCCATATTATAATTTTTCCCTGCGGAATATAGCCAATGGCACATTTGTTCATTTCCCACTGGTACTGCAAAATCCTTGTATTTTCATAGCCTAATTAAAGCAAACATGATGGAGTTCAGTTTGGTTTTCCGGATTGTTTCGAGTTTTTGCTTTATAAAAATGGCGCTGTTTTGGGATAAAATTGTAGAAAAGTACTTAAGCGACACTGAGTGTTTCCAAGCTAGATCTTGAACTATTGTAATGATTTTCGATATTGAAGAACACCAAATCCTCGCAAGCTTTATAGAAAAAAAAGTTCATAACCCGAGTGTTTGTAATGACTATAAAAAATCGACTTCAATGTCAATCCAAAACTTTCAAAACTGCATGATTGTATTCACTTGGGTTGTCTGGATAAAGTAATATTTTTATGACGTTTGTGGCCTTGTGCAGATTTAAAATTTTGGATTTGTTTTCAAGCTGCGCAGCCTTTTCTTACAAATATATTTGGTTTGTGAAAGTTATACTCTAAGCCCTTAAGCAATAAATTGCATTTTACATTTTTATTTACTCCTTGCTTAATTGTCTCGCCACGTTCTATTTATTGTAGGCCTTCAATCTTCCAATTTTTACATTTCATTTTTCTTTCAGTTTTGTAATTAGGTTTGATGAAACCAGAGTTTAATTTTTATATTGACGAAGATTTTCAAGAATTGTTGAGTGTATGGATTTCGAAGCTTTCGAATCTTATTAGAGTGTATTCATGAATATTTATTTTTTGTTTACAGAGGGTGTAGGAAATCCAATGGAAACATTTTTGTATATTGCGGCTCCAGAAGATACCTCTACTGCATTGATTTTTTCCAGGTTTTGTCACTCACTTCTTCTTCGAAATTACATACTTGACTTATATTTTTCTCTGTGTTTGCCTTAACATATGCTTAGCAGATAATACAAATGTTTCGTAGTTGTTTGTTGTAATGGATTTATTCCGTTAGTCGGGAATCGAATCTCGATAGACCGTTTCTGGAATATTGTGGAATTGGGATAATTACTGTAATATTATTATACTGAAGAACAACAGCTCTTCGATGTTTCTGTAACCACTGAAGTGTGTGATTAAGTCCGGCTTGGTCTTTGCTAGAATGTCTGGCTTGATTATTGTTAGTTTGCTAGAGAAAATCACTTCTCCAAGCATAAAATAATGGTTATTACATCGTGTGTCCGACCGTACGCGTGATGACTGACAGATCTAAGCAGTTTTTTTAGGCGTTTCTTTAACAAGCATATGCTTTTATACAATGAAGGATATTGCATACTTGGTTCTTACCAACGGCTCCGAATTCAAAAGTATCACTGTGCCGATGAATTATCCCTTGGTGTTAGTGAAGAGAACAATCACATAGGGAATCGACGATCGATATAGAGCTTGTTACTAAAATGGAATGCTTTTCTGTGACAAGAATGATAGTTTTGATGATGTTTTTTTTCCGCGCTTCTGCGCGCGCGCTATGATCTTCAGCTTCGCTGTAAGAGTGCAAACCCAAGACAAACAATGCTGAATGAAAGCGGCAATTAGTTCCAAATTGACTAAGTTTTGCATTTGCAGTACGGCACTAGTTGCTGTCGTTGTTGAAAAATCGTCCAACTTCACAGGGCTTTTGTATAGATGTTGACGTATAAATGACTCATGTCTTTGATTATATCTATAGATATTTAGAATTGATGATATTTGTTCCGAAGAGTATTTCGCATTGCAGTATTAAATGCGAGTGGTCGTTTGAACCACTACCGCTCTAGGAAGCTTGTCATGTCTTTAGCTGGTATCTTTAAGAAAACTATTTTCGCTACGTTTTCTGTTTCCAATTTTTTTTAAACAATTTTTACTCTTTCTGTTACAATTTATA